TTAATTATTTAATATCTCAGTGAACACATTTCCAAGGATTTCTGCAAGAGTTAGTGAACTTAAGGCTGCAAATGGCCTCCTGAAGTACCTTTCTGGGCTCACAGAAAACACAGGACGGATCGAAAAGATGCCACTCACCATCTACAAAGGAAAAAAGAGACCTGAAGCCAGACAGATCAGAGAGCTCCAAGCTTCAACGCAAACTGGTCAGTTTCCCTGAAGGCAAATGCCAGTAATAGCTCTGCCACGCAGAGACAAATCAACTCTGAGCAAGTGCCAAGCGTGGGGATCTACACGGGAAGGCAGCAACAAGGCTTCAGGGCAGCAGCGCCCCCTGGCCACAGGCCGAGGCAATTACAAATATTCTGTAGAAGAAAACAACGCGGCATTTCAGCTCCACGTCCCAAGTCACAAAGGTAGGAGCTCAAAACCTGCCATCGAATGGTGATAGCAGCACTACTCATCATTGCCAAAACGTGGAAGCAACCAAGCTGACCTTCAACAGGTGAACGGATAAACAAACTGTAGTACATCCAGACAATGTAGTATTATTTAGTGATAAAAAGAAATGAGCTAGCAAGTTAACAGAAGACGTGGAGGAACCTCAAATGCATATTGCTAAATGAAAGAAGCCCATCTGGAAAGGCTATATATACACTGTATGGCTCCACCTATATGACCTTCTGGAGAAGGCAAAAGTACAGAGACAGCAAAAAGATGAGGGGTTGCCAGGGCTTCAGGGGTTCACAGGGGAGGATGAATGGGCAGAGCAGAGAGGATTCTTAGGGCAGTGAAACTATTCTGTATGATAGTGTACATGGCATTACGCATTTGTCGAAACCCATAAAATTATACAACCTAAAGAGTGAAACCTAAAATAAATAATGAACGCTAGTTAATAATAATATATCAATATTGGCCCATCAATTGTAACAAATGTACTACATTAATGCAAGTTAAATTGCATTTAATTACAGTCAATACTCATCATGGTAAAAACTAGCAAACAAAGAATAGAAGGGAATTCCTCAATCGATAAAGGGTATCTACAAAAAAGAACAATAAATATATCCAATAATAAAATATTAAAATCATTCCCTTTAAAATCAGAAGGGATGCCAATTATCACCACATCTATTCAACTGCAAAATCTTACCAACACAATAAAGCAAGAAAGAAAGAATAGATGAAAAGACTGTATTTAAGTTTGAACTTACAGCATCATCATGACTTAAAGTCAAAAATATTTTTAACCTTAGTAGTTGGAATATATGAATTGGTAGGACTTAACTCCCTGCCCATAAAAGATTTAGTTTTTATCTGAACTGGAAGAAAAAGTGAAATGGCCAATAAACATACGAAAACATGCTCGACCTCCTAAGTAATCCAGCAAAATGAAGATCACCACAGATACCATAGATCAAGCACATCCAATCATCAAAATGGAAGAGTGAGAACTCCAGCAGTCATGAGAAAGGGGAGCTGCGGGAACTCTCACACATTGCTGGAGCAGTGCCACTTGATCTTTGGAAACCAACTGGCATTATATGGTGACGGTAAACATGTTAGATGTTTTATACCAAAATATATATGCAGAAGAGTCTCTTACACATGTGCATATGGTGACATGCAAAAGCTTTTAATGCTGCATTGCTTTCAGTATTCATTTCAAAATACTAGAACTGTGAATGAAATGCCCATCAGCAATTAACTAGATAAACGTGCGCAAAATGTAATCATAGTATTAGAAAAAAATGAATGCGTTGCCGCTATGCATCAACAAAGGACAGGGGCAGAACATCCAAAAGAGATTAAATTAAATATCTTATGTTTTAGAAATACAGACATGTGGTAAAGCAATGAAATCATCAACCTAAATTCATGATAATAGCCTCCTCTGTGACATGGAGGGGAACACAGGGATTTCTTCTTGGTAATACTCAACTTCCTAAGCTCTGTATTACTTTCAATTGAAAGTGCTATTACAGTTTGTTTTGTTTTCACAAGTAACCCATTTACATGAGCTATTTAGAGAGAAAACAAATATTACACAGGAATTGGACTTGATGGCCCTTCAAGTATCTTTTAACTCTAAGATTCTGTAATTCCATACCCGTCATAGTAAACAGCACAATATGCTGCACATAAAAACCAATGATAATCACTGACTTCTACCTTTGGCAGCAACAGTGCTTGCTAAACCAACATCCTTCTTTGCCCTCCCTTGCCAGTAGGTGCCGTTTTTGTTCTGCCAGCTTTCCTTGCTCCATGTAACTTAGGGGAGGGTATCCTAGAGCTTGTGGGGCACTAATCTTAAGAGTCTATTAATCTTAGAGTCCAGGTGCCCTTCTCTGCCAAGGAGACATGAGACAGAATCTACTAAGGAACACCTGGAACGGGCATCTTGCTCCTACACAGGAGGCACAGAAAGGCAGAGGTATTCTTTCCAGGTGGTGGTGTACAGAAGTGTGACATCTACGAAGCTGCTGTCATGGTGCAACCAGGACAAAGATCAGTTTCAGAATTAAGTCCATTGGCCCATGATGACCACATTGAGACAACAAATTAATTAAATTCATTAAATTCATTAAAGCTGGAGCCGTATTTCTTGACTTGTTGCTAAATAATGTCACCTTATGGATTATATTCTCCCACTGAAGCTCTATTAAGTGACACGCTATCTATGTGCACAGAGTTGGCTCATTTAATCTTCACAGCAATCCTACGAGCTAAGTACCATTATTATGTCCACTGAATAGACAATAAAAACAAAACTCAGAGAATTAAGACAAATGGCCTTAAGTTACACATATCTTAAGTGGCAAATTCTGGGATATCTGACTCCAAACCCATGTTCTTAGTTGTCTATTCCAGGCCACCTGGCTGTAGCTTTGAGGGCTGGAAAGAAAATGCCAATAGATACGAACGTCCACAATCTGGTCACATACCCTATGGGTGAGACTCAGGGGCGGAGGCAGCCACCATGTTGGCAGCAACCAAAGCAGCTTCTTGACCTCTGAACTGTAGCTGTGATTGTTTGACCTTGAACTCAGTAGTCCAATGGCAGACTCCCAACTGTCTCCCGGACTTTCCAAAAATGTAATTCCTTGTATTAAATCACCCTTTTCGAAGCACCTACAATTATTACCACTTCCTGAACTGACAAATCCTGAGCTCAAGACATAAATAAATTCCAGCTTCACTGACTTATATTCATCTGAACTCCCTAGTTCCCTATAAAAATAGTTTTATAACCTGGATATAATGCAGTTCTATCTTAAGGTATCCTCAATCAGAAGACTTTTCATCTTCTTTCTTACATCAATACAAACTATTTATTAAACTGCTGAGAGGCTGTCATGGACTATATACTATAATAGAGGTTCTTTCTCCAGTATCCCTCAGGGATTGGGAACTTAAACTGTAGACAAGTGATTAATATCCTTCATGGAACATTTCACCTATACTCAGGTAATTTTTTGTGCATGCAAACTTTTACAAAGAGCATAATGCATTTTCTTAAGGTTTAGAATTATTCTCTATTTTTTTTAAAAAAACGATGTTCTGAAAGGGGAAGCAACATTATATTTATCCACTAGAATACATGAAAAATAAGTATTTGTAAAAAAGAAAAGGTATTCTAACCTTGCAAAAGCATAATACATTTATTAGTATCTTTAAATATTACATCAGAAACTGCAAGCTTATATTAAAGAGCCTGGAACTTATCATCAAAAAGACCTGAGTTAAACCCCTGGTTGAGTCTCATAGCTGCTTGACAATGAGGAAATCCTTAGATTTTCTGAGTTTCAGTTGATGCATCCTTAGAAATGTGATCTTTATAACTAGCTACAAAGTTTGTTATAACATTAAAAAGAGAATGAATACTACGTATGAAAATGTCTGCTATAAGACTTAGTATATAGCAAGTACTAAATAAATGTTCAATGTTCTCTTATTCCTTAACTGTGCTATGGAAGAACTCTTCCTCAACAACCACAAAAAAAGCTGGTCAAAAAACTAATTTCTACGGAGTAGAAATTCTACATTCTATGAACTTACATTACAAAATCAGAGAAAAAAATCCCAAAAGAGTAAGTCAAAATTTTGTGCGGATTAGTGGTGATTAGTCCTAAGATAAGTAGGAAATGGTAACCTACCAGTTGAACTTCCCTTTGGAACTTTTAACCATTTTGATGACTCAAATTATCCCCCACTCTATCATCACCCTTCACTGCAAACTATTTTGGGTATTGAACAAAGAGCAAAGCTGGGGTAGGTAAACCTGCTAAATAGTTTACATTCCTGCAGATTAACAAACAAGTAAATAAGGCACTAGAAGGCACTTAAGAAATGTAACATACTAAAAGTATGGTGTTGGCACTGGTCTGCTTACCTAAGTATTACCAACAAAACACTGCTTCAAATTTTTTAAATGGTTACTAGTATTTCATGAAATATAAAACCAGCAACAAGTAATCCACTGAAAACTAAAACCAATACCATAGACTTACGATCACCATTTTACCATTCTTTAGATTAAAACAGATTGTTGGCATTTTCATGTTGGCAATAAAGCATATTGTCCGTACATTTAGATATTTTTACATATTATACAAGGATATGTAATAAGGAAAGGGAGGATTTACAGGAGGGCAATAAACAGCCACAGTGAATGAGCACAACAAAAAGCCACCTCTTTTTACTGCTCTAGGCTTAGGAACATTAATATGGTCTCCATCTCACTCCCTCCTCTTGTCTTGATTCCTGGATTATAGAATTTATAATGAGGAGGAGAAAGTTGACAGATGAGGTAACAAGTGGTAGCAATTATCAAGAATTAACCAAAGTATAGGCTTGTGGAGTCAGCTAACTTGGCAAATGAAATTTTGATGGGGTGTTACTCAGAACAAAATGTTTCTTTATGAGTAATTTTGACTGTCAGACGTGATTTAAAAGATATTGTTTGGATTATTTCAGAACAGATCCTGGACACAAACCTCAATTGGCTCGTCACCACCTTTTACTTGATTTTCACCCATTTCTCCGTTCTCATAGCTGCTGCTTTTCTCAACCCATAACTCAGATTTTTCTACAGTTAGCCGAAGCTGGTCTAGATCTGCCTTGATTTGCTTGTAGTTATCTACATCCTGATTGGACACCAGCAACTGCACCTGGAAACAAGAATTTCAACCTTTAATTTACCTATGGAGCTTCCTTTATCTATTTCAATAAAGTCCAAAATCTGAAGTCTTTTCATATGTTGGGCCCTCGGTTGACATTTAATATTTCTAAGATATTTATGGATATTGTAGATATATATCGACCATGAAAATTCACCTGGAAAAATCTGTGAACTTACCCAATACATTCCCATGTAAAAAAGAATTACACATTTTACAAAATGAGGTCTAGCAAAGCTTTTCAAAGTGTTGAAGAATAACTTAAAATGAAGGAGACCCTAACTCTAATTTCACCACTGAAGTTAATTTTTATGAGATTCTATCTGTTGAAAAGAGGGAGACACATTAAAATAAGTGGAAGAATATACAGATAGTCTAAACCTCATGATATTAACTTTGATTTTAATTTATAATGACATATACAAAGATGTGTACAATTACCTCTATTTGCATAATTACTCTTTTAATTAATTCATATTTGTAACATATTCTAAAACTTCCTAATGGAGATCAGTGTTCTACTAAATAAAATATTAATAACACACACATAAGCACTTAGGTATTAATCGTCAACAGTCTCAAGATTGATGTCATTCAAAGATGACAAAAAAGAAGAGTAGATCCCTAACAGTTCCTTTTTTGGGGATTTACACATCTTTCCATTACAAAACATTTATTTCAGCACTACTATTTGTCCTACTTAAACTTATCAGTAAAACTTGGGGTGAAAATAAGGGCTGTGGGAACAACATTCCTAACATGGTATTATCCCCCAGTGCCTTCCTAAAGCTTTGTGTCTATCATTTACATGGAAGATATTAACTGCAAACCACTTGTGGGAAACTCTTCCCAAAAACAGATCATGACCTGGCTTAGACAAGGCCATATATCTATCTTTAAAAATAGGAAGTGTCCCCAGGAAAATCCGCAGAGTCTCACTCGCTCGGCAACGATGAAGTCAGGACGGATGTGGTGTTTTCATAGTTTCTGCGACGCAGCCGCGGCGGGCTGCTCCCCCTTACCTGCTTAAATGCCTGTAAGACCTCGGCCCTCTGGCTGAAGTGCTTGAAGAGCAACTGCAGGGCCCCCGACAGCAGAGGGGGGTAATCGTGCATGATTAGATGGATGAGGACTCGCAGAAACGTCCTGCCGCCTTCATCATCCAGCTGGACCGGGTTTTTTTCCTTCCTGCAAAACCAACAATAATTCTAAAACAAGTCAGACTTACATAAAATCTACTCACAAGTCATTAACATTAGGTGCACAGTCTTGGAGTTATATCACCTTTTCCCCAAAATTGGCAAGTAAAAAGGAAGATAATTTTACTCTTTTTTTTTCTCCCTTCATGTAACTGATGAGGACACAAAGCACACAGAAAAGCTTGTGTCTGTTCATGAAAACAGGGGTGATCAATCCATCCCAGACTGTCCAAGATAGAGAGGGTTCCCAAGACAGGGTCATTTGGTCCTTGCAGTGGGAAAGTACCAACTGAGGGGGTTACTGAGGTATTGACAAAACACAGGAATCTGAATCAACACAAAAGCGTTTATTAGGACAACATACTAGGCTGGAAGTACACCCATGACTGACTTTCCCCGGAGACCTCGCCATGACAGGTGGACGGCTGGGGAAGGACAGGGCACAGATGTGCACGCACACTCGCAGGCCCACACCCATCCCTCAAGCAACAGGCGGTCCGTGCGCTTGGTACGGTAGGACTCTGAGCAAGACACTGCTAAGGTGAAAACCACACACTGGTGTATTCCCCCTTCTTGGGATACTGAAATACTTGAACAGGAAAGTACAACAACAACAAAAACTGTCAAAACCACACAAAAACATAGCTAAACCAAATGTTTGCTAGAGACGAAAAGCCATTTTAGTTCCCTTCATTCTTCATTCTTATTTGTCTTTCTAACCAAAGAAAATGCAACCACGGGCTTCGTATAGAAATTTATTTGGGTTCTGATGGCAAATCTATAATAAAAACGAATGCCAGAAACTCAATAATTTGTAGCTTAGACATTTTATTTTTTTACTTTACTTTTGGACTGCTATTAGTTTCACTTCCGAAAAAGAAAGAAACAACTTAAAAATAATAAATGGCAGGGCTCTTGATTACAAAGAAAGGTAGTCATGTCAGAGGCATTTCATTTCTTTAATCATGATTTTTCCAACTGGCAGAAAATAGCTTTATTTATCATATATGAAGTTAATGATGATGTTGAAAGAAGTTACTTTCTTATCTCAAATTTCTCAGATTCAGGGAAGCAATGTTTTGCAAGATGCAGCAATATTTATACCAAGAGAGTTAAAGGGTGTTTGTGTGCTGTCATTATTTGAGGAAAGAAAAGCAAAGAATTCAGGGAGAAGTTCAATACACTGACCTCACCTCTCTTGTCCTTTTTTACCTGAACTAAAGAAAAGCCAAGATTTCTCTTCTAAGTAAATTAGCATCTTTATTTCTGGCACAAATTATGTTGTCAAAAATAAGGGATTTCAAATTAATTAGGCACAGAGAGGTGAATAATAACCAAAGTATCAATAAAATTCTAAGTAAAATCTTATTTACAAAACAAAGATGCATAAATGCTACGTACCTTCCAGCAAACATAGTTTCTGCCTGTGCTGCAATTTCATCTATATCAGGAACAATGGCTGCAAAGATAAACGGTACAATCTATTCTTTCTCTTACGGTAGTCAGGAGTCACAGTATTTACATTAATAATAGCATACCTAAAAATACTTTTGTCTGTCTATATCACCAAAAGTCAGTTAACAGTTTAAAAAGTCACAGTATAGTTCCACTTGGATTTCAATATTTTAAAGTGAAGTTTAAATTTCTGAATATATATTGCTATAAAGATACATCTAAACGAGCAAAGAGCACCATTTACAAAGTTGCCTCGTCTATGTAATTGAGTATATATGCATCAACTATTCATACACACACGCACACAGGGTGATGACATGAAAGGATAAAGCTTTTTAAAGAATCAAAATATACGTATAACCTGTTACTATCTGATACTTCCTAACAACATGATCTTCTTCCCTAAGCTTACTTCTAAAAATCTGATCCCTTCTTTATGGGACAGGTACTCAATTCTCTTTTTTATAATATGAACCAATCATGATTTCTTACCCATCTACACCACTAACACGTTGAAGGTATTTTTCTTTAAAATAGCATTTTAAATGATAAGTCATGATTTATTTCTCATCTCCAAAGCACAGAATGAAAACAGAGCAAGACAGAAAAAGGGAAAAAAGAATTCTAGCCCTAAAGGCTCTCTTTTGTGGATAAAATCAAAGACAAGGATCAGGTAATCAGAGAACTGGTTTTCTGGGGATGCCTCTAGACCTTCCCTCCCATACTTATAGACACTTAGTACTCCCATTTCCAGAAGTCTGGCTTCTGAGAGCAAATAATTTTTATGATAATGTCAATGCAACTGCCAGCAAGACTTTCTGGTTTTACTGTATCATTCTTGGAAATAGCCCTTTGGGGTTCTCTACTTCTGGGAAGCACAAAAACAACACTGTTGCAAATGTGCCAGAAATGACGTCTCACTTAGGCCAGCTTAACTCTGTCTGTAGAGGTATTATGCCTTTTGGACAGTTCTAATGAATGGGACAGCAGGACCCCCTTTTTAACTACACATGTACAATCACTGGATCATCTTGTCAAATGGATTGACAGACAAAGAAGAGGCAGATTCCTGACACTGTCACAGTGGTTGTGATTAAAAGAAAATTTCATATCTATGTATAAATCCTATTCCCAGAAACAGAATTCTGTTCAGTGTCTAAACTTTAATATGACATAATTTCCAGCCTGCAAGACTGGTCTGTTCTACCCAGGAAAATGGCGATTTAATATTTCACAGGTTTCATGAGGTATTTTCAATAGTCACAAAATTTTTACAATAACTTTTATGCTCTCATCATTATGCTCCTGTGCTCAAAGATGGAGTGGTTTCATTCTTCCACTTTTTAAATGTGAAAAATTGAAATATGGTACCAGCTTATAACCATGGGAAGTAAATACAAAACAAAACACACACATGGGAAAAACAACACCCACATTCAGACCTTTGCAGAATGCCACGTTTTTACTCTTGAGTTGGGTGATGTCTTCCTATAAAACACCTTTCCTCCCAACAGCTGCATTTCATATTGTTCTTTGATCAAGGTTAAAAAAAAATTCTTTGGATTTTCACCAAAAGCAGCATAATGCTTAAAAGAATCAGGCTCGACAAAGACGGGTAAGATTCCTCAAGGGAGGAACAACCTAAGACAGGCACAGTCGCAGGGGGGCCATCAGGTGAGAAATTGGGGATCAATAGAGGTGAGGCTCAGAACCTCACCCCCCCTGCTTTGAGAGAAATCTTCTGCATCTGTGG